CACACACACACACACACACACACACACACACACACACACACACACACACACACACACACACACACAGAGACAGACAAGACAGACAGTGTAATGCAGAGCATGGTGAATCTTTACAGTGTCTGTTCTGTTCATGTCAGTATTGTGTGTTATTCAGATTAACTTAGAATGCCTTGAAATTATTAAACAATTAATGAAATTGAATTGAGGGAGCAAACAGTTTGTGACCCTGTTTGTTGCTGATGTCAGTTCTGCCTTCTGTGTTTTGAGTTTGGAGCTCCCTCAAGTAAATTCTTTATTGTCTCTTTTTTAATCTTAAAATCAATTTTATATACCATCATTTTCGTTTCTATAACGTCTGAACATTTCTCCTCTGGTGTAATATGCTTAGCTGTGCATTTATTGAATGAGCACTGTGCGATGTCCGAATTGATTGCACTATATTTTATGTATAATCGTTTTCTTAAATTCAATTTAAACCTCTTAAATCAATTTTTTAAATCATTGTCAAAGTTTTTAAATTCCTTGTTTTATTGTTATTATTTTTTTCTTTTCTTTTATGTAAAGCACTTTGAATTACCATTGTGTATGAAATGTGCTATACAAATAAACTTGCCTTGCCTTGCCTCACATACTCAACAACAAAAACAGTCGGAGCGCCTTCTCACAAGTTTTATTTTGATTTCCCAATTCCGCTACTAGTTTATAGCCCGTTAGCATCGCCAGTGCGGCTGTCGCTAATCTTGCTTACTCTATTCTCACACATTACTATTGTTTTACTCACTGTTACTTGCTCTAATGGCGGATATGTTTCTAACTTTGAGTGCAGGTGAGGACACTCGGTGCAGCTCGAGCTGGAGGCCATGGAGAAGCAGATCCATGAGCTGCTGGAGAAGCAGGCCCAGCTGAGAGAGCGGAGAGCCATGGTGGAAACATCCCTGGCTGATGCTCACAAGTCCGGGGTAAGTTTACAGCATGATATTAATGCTCTCACCACCTCTACTCCGTGTGTTTCTCTGCACAGGCCTTATGCAGGACACGATCTTCCCAGGTCTCCTTTACTCCGATGTTGGGATTCTGGGTGCACCAGCAGCAGAAGACGTGAGTCCTCACAGAATAAATATTCCCTCACAGTTTAATATTAATGACTATGAATTTCTTCACTGATAAAATAGATATCATCAGAAATACAATAACAAATGAAGAATCATGTATGTATCATGTACCAAATGTATCATGTAAATGTAGCGAATCAGCTCATGGGGAAATATGAATAATTAATCATAACTAGTTATAATTAATTATAAATATTTAGATCCGCTGTAGATATTTACTTGACCTCTCAGGGTCAACTGTCTTGTCAATTCTAAGAACGTTAATTTCCTGGTTAAGGGAAATAACTTTCTTACTGTACAATTCTACAAAGAGCTTGTAGCATAAATCTGCTTGATTAAGTGACTCCAGTTATGAGCAAACAATGAACAACGTCAAGTGTGATACAAGTAAGGCTTTATTAACTACATAAACACTTAAACTAGTCTAACATACTACATAAAGACTTAAACTAGTCCAACGTACTACATAAACAGTTAAACTGGTCTAACATACACATACACACACACACACACACACAC